GATTGAAAGTGACGGTGGGCTCACGGAGTTTATGCCGTCGTTAATAATATTTTATTTCTTGTTTAAGAAGAAGAGACAAAAACAATTATTGCAGTCACTTTTTTACTAAAATATATTAATTGTCAGCATTTTTATCCGTTTCTATGCGTAACCAAAATATCATAGTGGGATTTGATTATTTACCAATAAAAAGGATAATTTGTTTAGAAATAAGTCCCAATTTTATAACCATATTAGTTATTTCTAAAAATATTTAAATTCAGATTTGTGTTGTGGATCATTTTACGCAATCTTGGAAGTTGCAATTTACAAGGGGGAAAAAATTAGTCATTTGTTAGAAATATAACTTTAGTAGTATTTTATATGCATTTTAAATTGATACTATAAATTATAATGAAAATACAATGAGTGTTTTTTCAAAACTATCACAAGGCAATTACTAATCTTACTACATTCTTATATATACATCAAAGAACTTCACAGTGATTTGTACTGTTCGATCAAACGTGACGCATGGAGACGTGATGTTGGAACGGTCGTGCATCCTAGACTCTGCAGAAATGCGATCTGCCATTTCAAAAACATAAACAAACAAATGTATATATCAACTTCTAAGTTTCGGTTTGCTTACTTGAATATACAATCGTTGGATGGATAATACGGTGTTTTTTTTTTTACCTGTTTAGGGGTTGCTTCCGAAGTGCTCATTGAGTTTTCGATTCTCAGTTTTTGGAAATGCTCCTGAAAAAACCGAATTTTCCCCCAAGGTTTATAGAGTGAATTGACATACAACTTCTTGCTTTCTCAAAACAGATTATATGTATTACCTGTTTCTCGCGCATTATATGAGCCCGTGTGTCTGCAGGAAGTTGTTCCCACCTTAGTACCTGACATGTACACAGTCACCACAATCTCAGTTTCTATTCATTAGTGTGTGACTGTTTTTTTCCGGATAATATGCTTACATGTTCTGCATATTGGAACGCTTCTTCGGCATCCAACAATGATTTAAGTGCTCGTAAGACATCCTAACACAATAATGCAGAGCATCCGGTCAGTCACCAAAGCATATATCAACACTCTGTAATTGTATGGCTGCTCGGTAGGATTTAACCATGAAGCTTCGTAAATAACCTTACAGTAACCAAATAAGAAAACAACCGTGTCTACATACCTTGTGTTTCTTCTTCTTGATGGCTAAACGTTCACCAGTCACAAATCTAACCTGCATGTACAAAAAAACATTGACATGAAAAGTACGGTAAAAAGTGAGCATGCTGAAGCATCAATTTTAAAAACTGGTAGACGGGAAGGATATGGTGGGACTGATGAGAAATACTATGAAGAAACTAATCTGATACTTAACTTTTTGCTTCGGCACTTTAAATTTCAACCATGCGAGAAATAATTCTTGAATATAACATTAACTGATCGAGAAAGGTTTCAGAGTATGCGATACTCACCTTGTCAATCAACCTCTTCGGATCTTGGAATGCTTGTTTCTTGGCCCAGTTGTGAAATAAGTGAGAGACAACTGATCTAACCTCCACATCAAACCTGTTGAGGATAAAACTTCGAATGAAGATAAAACCAAAGTGTGCCAAATTAGATAGTTACGGTGGGTTGAAGTATGAAACCTCTTAAGAAAGCTGTTCCCATTGAGCGCATATGCCGCTTCTACTGACTCCTCCGAGGCATCATCTACTGGAATTTTCATCAAATCATTGTCTGTCGGTTCATTTTTCTCATCTTTTATTTCTGTTCCAAAACTGGACACGCTCTTCTCAGCTTTGTTTGGAAAGCTTTGATGAACTCTTCTGCAGTCATTTTTGCTCAAGTCTCCCTACAAAACCAGACAAAATCGAGATCTCAGCAAGCTATGTTTGTTTGTTCGTGTATTGCTGTCTGGAAAAACTAGAGATAAAAACAACCACAGATATTATAACGCTTGGCCATAGACATATATTGGAGAATTTAATGCATAAATTGCAAACAGACTGAAGACCTATACCTGTAGAAGATGGCCCGGAATCTCTTTAAGAAATCGTGAGGGTTGGAGCACCTAGATGGAAGGTCATTCATTAATCAGAGTCAAAGTTTGAGAGGACAAGTTCACAAACCATGTGCAATACTAACCTGCCAATTCGAATCTACTGTTATGTACAAGAAAAATAGTTCCTTGCGAGCACGAGTCATAGCAACATATAGAAGACGACGTTCCTCCTACAATTTTAACAACCAATACGGGGTTAAATATACATATGTAGAGTTTGCAGAGGTTGGAAGTGGATATAGAGTTAATGAAGAAGAGTGATACCTCGAGTGATGTTCCGCCCTCCGATGCAGTGCCATTAGATTCATGTAATAGGGGAATCTCGTTTTCATTAGCCTGTTCAGCAAAACTTAGATTCAAATTGAAGCAACAATTTCTATTTTGTTTCATTGATTCTATAAAGCTGCCAAGAAATCAACAGAAGATGATATATACCTTGACTATGAAAACTACGTCCCACTCTAGACCTTTAGACTGCATAAAAACGTACAAGAGATATTAGCCAATATTTCCATTACTACCCGAAGCAGTCAACTCTAACACTAATTGATACCAAACTGTGTACTGCTCGACTGCATGACAAACACCTGATGAATGGTGGTCAATGTGACAGAATTTTCATTGTCATGTCTTCTTGAACGGAAATTTTCAGTTTCACGCTCGGAGATATAATTGATAAATGAATCAAGTTGATTGCATCCTTTCTTATC